GGTAGGGTGGTGGAACCATCTCCCACAAGGCCCCTCTAAGGGTGCATAGTAAATTGAGTACATTCCTCATAACATAAATGAGAGAAAGGAGTTGGAAGAGGATAGTAAGGGGCCTTATCATGGGGCCACCTGCCCCAGAACTGGCACTGTGACTACTTCTTGCTCCTTCTCCTTGGGTCCTGTGACCCAGCAGGCCCTGGGGAGCAGAAAGGCAGCTGTCAGCTTTCACATGGCACTCGATTCTGGCAAGGGAGCAAGTCCAGTGGAAGCCAAAGTCTTGTCACGATCCCATCAGCCCCACAATAGTGGAGCCTCTGCTGACTGGTCGCGGGTCACAGGAGTGTGGGAGCTCATCTGCCTCCCACATATGACTGCACAAATCATACTGCTTCCCCTCTGGAAAGCCCGAGGAAGCCTGTTTATGCAATTTCTTGTGCAGAGTCCCTCTATAAAATAAGTGAGAGGTATCCCAAGGACTAAAGCTGGTGTTTTCCTATTTATGTCTATAATTCATATTCCAAATTACTTCAAAAGTGATCAAATAATAATAAAATCATATACATACATGTGCACACAGGCTAGTCTGGTTAAATCAGCGTTTGTCAGTCGCTGCACTATTAAAATTTAGGGTCGGATAATTCTTTGTTATGATGGAGGTGGGGGTTATCCTGTGCACTATAGATGTTTGGCAGATCCCTTGGCCTCTACCAGTTAGATGCCCCCAGTTGAGAATTACTGAAAGATAGATAGATGATAGATAGATAGATAGATTATTATATTGTTATAGAGAGAAATAAGGAGCCTAGTGTGCTTAACAGCTGAGCACTAACTTTAGCCTGCATGGGCTCTGAAGGAGATGATCCAGGGTGGGAGCTAGGCTATAGAGGTCTTGGTGTTGACATTTACTGAATGCTTCTGGGAGCCCAGCACAGGGCCCAGGTTCAGTACAGTTTTATGCATGAAATCATTTATTATTATTGTCTCTATTGAGAAAAATGAGTGAGAAAAATGAGGCTTAGCGTGGTAACTAACTTTTCAAAGGATAACCTGCTAAAAAGCAAGACAGCCAAATATGACCAGTTTTGTTGACTTTTAACTACTGTAATGGCACCCTACAACAGGATGGCTAACGATGAGCCACATACAGCCATTGAACACTTGGAACACTGTGACAACTCTAAAATGAGATGTGCCACGTGAACTACACTCCAGATTTCAGAGAAATGTTGAAATGATGCACTAGATATGTTGGGATAAATAAAATACATGGTTAAAATAAATTTTATCTGTTTTATTTTCATTTAAAAAATGTGGCTACTAGAAATTTTTTTTAAATTTTTTTTTGACGTTTATTTTATTTTTGGGACAGAGAGAGACAGAGCATGAACGGGGGAGGGGCAGAGAGAGAGAGAGAGACACAGAATCGGAAGCAGGCTCCAGGCTCCGAGCCATCAGCCCAGAGCCCGACGCGGGGCTCGAACTCACGGACCGCGAGATCGTGACCTGAGCTGAAGTCGGACGCTTAACCGACTGAGCCACCCAGGCGCCCCAGAAATTTTTGATATGCCTGTATGGTTTGCGTTAAATTTCTTTTGGAAAGTGCCATGCTAGACAATACTATCTCCCCTAGCATCAGTTTTAAGAAAGGCCAAAAGGAAAATAATGTGCTGTGGGCCATGAGAAAGATGCCAGTAGCAAGGGAACCCATATAATCATCTTTTGTTATCAAACCAAAAAATAAATACAAGTAAAATCAGAGAAATCTTTTTCAAAATAAAGTTATCAGTAAAGTTGGTAAAGGGCCAAATGAAAAACAAGATAGCTTCAAAGTATTCATATTCAAATTCATATGTCAGCCAGTTATTCTCTTCCTTGATATCAAATGCTGATTATTTGGTCCCAGACTCAGCCCCCGGTGGACCCGCTGCTGTGTAAGCTTACACGTGCCTTCATTTTTTCCTTGCCGGTCATTCCACTAGCTGTGCTGACCACCCATGCCTGATTTCTGTGCATTTTACCTGGTCTAAGGCAAAGGATAAATTCTAATCATCTTATGGTTCTAGTCACTGGCCTTTCCGGAAAACTCCACTTTTTTTTTTTTTTTTTTTTTTTTAAATCTTACACAGACTTGTCATACAGAATGAGTCTCTGGGTGCTTTTCAACCCCTGTGGTTCCTTGTACCCTTGTCTGGAGATACCTTCCTCTTTCAAACTCCAGGCCATGTGTTCAGTAGGGAAGCTGATAGACGTAGGGACCTGAATCTTCTTCCATGTGATCACAGACTGAATATGCAAAGTGGGCTCGACAATAGTACCAGCCTTGCGCCTTGTGGAGTTGTCGTGAGGATTGACAAATTAACCCACGTAAACCCCTGGAATACTGCCCACAGCATGGCATGCTAAGTGCTTCACGAACCTTAGTCACTGGTATTTTCAGTTGTCTTTGGATTAGAATAGGGCCAAGTGTACATGAAGGTATTCCTGTTCCCCATCTACTCATGTACCTGCTCCTGTCCTGCCTGTAAACCCATTGGGCAGATCAACTGCAACATCTGAGCCCCATGGCAGAGAGCAGGCAGTACAACCGAGAACAGATCAGACAAGAGGAAAGCAGCTCCTACCACATTGTTATTAGAGCTTGATGAACAACTCTGATCATCACACAGTTTAAAATTATGGGATTCAGGGCCAAAGCCCAGGGATTTGTTTCAAATCGGTAAATCCCCAGAAGAGGAAGTCTCTAAAGCAGATGCCAGGAAAGCACACCCAGAAGGCGCATGCAACAGGCTGCGAAGGGTTTTGTTTGCAAGGCCGTGGGGGCTGTGCTCCATTCCAGCGTGGGGCTGAAAGGTTGCAGGATAGAACAAAAGCAGACGGCAGGCTGGAGAGGGAGGAATGGAGAACCACCTCCCACTCCGGTCAATAATTGGAGATGGATGATGGTACCCGCTGCATAACCTCACTCTGCAACTTTTATGGGAAGGTTTGACAAACGACACCAGCAAAAGGTACAAGAGAGTGATTAAAACCAGCCCTTGTGAAGGCAGAGATAACTGTCCTGGGGCTTGAGTCTCCTTGAGGCTCCCCATTCCCACCCCCACCCCCCACCACTGCCTTGAGTTTTCCAGAACTTTCTTTCATCTCGTCACGTCCTTCCCCTCTCCCTCTACTGCTCCCTTTACACAAACTTGTTCTTTGGCATCATCTTATCCAGTAGACTCTGTGTGGCTGGACTTGGAATGAAAGTATTCACTCATTCAGTGCATCAAAATGCTCATCAGCTTGCTGTCTAAACAGGAATTTTTGGCATATATTTACCAAAAGAACATGCCCCAAAATCCTTACAAAGAAACTTCCCTGTTGAGGGAAATCACCAAGTCTTCTATTAAAAACAGATTCTCAGGCCTCAACGGAGATTTACTGAATCTGAATTTTCCAGGGAGAGGGTGGCCTCTGGAGAGATGCAGGGAATCTTATCCTCGGGGAAACCCAGGGAAACTGCTGAGCTTTGTCGTGCCACTTCCCTTGCAGGAAGTTAGCCTGGGGTGGAAAAAGTCCGTTCTAGTTCTCTGATCTTTAAGCTCTTCCTCCAATTTGTCTGAATGCTTCTGTTAAACTAAGATTCAAGTGGTGACCCATTAAAGGGACAAAACCAATCAAAGGAAAAATCACAGGGCTGCAGACCCTCAGACGTGCTGATGTCCCATGGTAATTGAACTGGACCAGATCAGAGTGACCACAGCCAGAAGGCTGTGTCCTGGAAGAAGCCGGGATATGGTGACAAATGTTAGGAGGCACTGATGGTGGCCAGGAAATGAATTATGCTCAGGAATGGTGGTCTTCAACTTGCTTGCAGTCTTCCCTTCGGTATTCAGAGCTGTGGGGAAATGTCACCCTACCTGCTGGAAAGATGAGTTTCTAGTTCTGTCAAACATACTCCTGTTTTCAAGCATGTCTTGACCAGCTTCCCAGAGCAAGAAAAACATGGAAATGTGCTGCATGTAAGCACCTTGAGAAAACGTGCCTGGGAACTCAGGCCAAAAATAACAAATGACTTGACTCCACATATATTTGCAGCTTGTCAGAAATCAAGTCCACCCTCCCCCTTTACCTGGGTAAAAGAAGATATAGGCTACCCCTAAAAACCCTTTTCTTTGTCCAGTAGATGAGCCTGGAAAAACCATTACTGAACTTGGAGTCCTTGTTGGGCATCATGTTTATTGTTTCCTGCACAAACTGGGCAGATGATGCTAAAAAAGCCACGGCTAGGTTTAGCATGCAGTTTGTTAATACTGTCCTTTAAGAATAAACAACAAAGTGACTCCTACAGACTCTATCTTCCCTGTCCCCGATATTTCCACATGCTTTACATATGCTGTATTAAACCTAATACAGTTATTATTAAGGTATCAATATATGCCCAATAAATGCATGTGGGGAGAGGCAGGAGGAACCAGTGAGCACTCTCTCAGGGTGGCCTGTGGGAAATGATGGGACAATTAAGGCATTATTAGGGATCTATGTATAGGATTCTCCGTAGGCCCCCACAACGGCTACAGTCAGCAACACCTGTGCAAGATAGCATGGAGAATAATGGAAAGGTAATATTTCTGAACCTTACAAGGCAGGCCAAACTCATTTAAAATGACAGCTGTCATTAATATAAACGTGTATTGCAGTGCCATGGGAGGGGGGTACTATTAAGTACTGGAGAGGCAGGATCACCTGGAATACCGAACAATAGCAATACATGGGCCCTGACCTTACTCTTCGCACAAAGGGACCGCCATGACACGTACCAGACTAAGGGTCACAAATGATCATCTAAAGAAATCCAAAGAAGAAAAGCTCCCAGGCAAAAGAATGAGCTTGGTGGTACCTGCCTAGTTGATGACCTTTTCCCTTTCTTTCCTTTTTTTTTTTTTTTTAACTGTCCTTCAAGGGGGCTGAAAAGCAATTTTCATGCTATGGCTCTAAATATCGGTTTATCCCTCCGACAGGGTTCTGAGCGTGCCCAGTAGGGATGATTTAACACCGCGCTGATGACTTGCAACAGAAGATCGTCATGTGAAAAGGTAAGTCTGCCGCAGCTAATGGGCTCCTGTTTCAAGGGATGCTGTGTGTACATTACCAGCGTACGGGGAAGGTGCAGAAAGGCCCAGGCAGCCATTAGGAATGGAGTGTTGTTGATGATGAAAAGGCACTTTACCGGTGAGGGAATGGTGGGAGAGAGAAGGCTTATCTGTCTTTTTGATTAGAAATGCATGCTTCCTTTCATCATCTGAGCTGAAAAATTGGCTTCTGCTCTTGGTTTATGAAACCATTTTTCTTTTTCCTTTCTTTCCAGGTTTGCAAACTGCTTAATAAATTAGTTACTGTGAGGTACATGGGTGCCACAATAACCTTAGAGGCTTTTCCCAAATGCATCCTTAATATTTTATAAGTATTTAAATAGATTTATTCAATTTGAGCTGGCTGATTTATTCAAGCTAGCATTCCGGCACAAAAAGGGGGTTCTATGCAGATTAAAGCTCATCAAAAAAATTTAAGATGTGCTGATGAAGTTTTTTTAGGGATTAGAGCAAAACTTTTGGATACAGCTAATTGAGCAAACAGGGTAAAGAAACCATCAGAAGCATAGAAGCTTGAAATGGAAGCTTCAGGCCTATGGTCACATAGGATGTTCTGAACCATTCATTCATTCATTCATTCATTCAACCAGCATGGTGGAGATGTTTGGGAACTGTGCTAAGCACTGGTGCCTTTCTGTCATTCTGTTAAATCCAGCTTTAAAAGAGCATAGGACCAAAACTTGCATCTACATAGCTCTCAGCCCAAGGAAGACAGCAAAAGTCAGATCATCTTATATAAATTATTCTGAGCAGCGAATGAAAGGGTAACCCCCCTGTCTGAAAGGGAAAACAAGATTTTTGGCCCTAAAGGGTGGTTCTTATCTCCAGCATAAAGTGACTTGAGTCTCCTAGGAGTTGCTGTGCGGTGACTCCAATGTCAGCAGGTGCGGGGAGGCCAACCCCCGCCCTGTCATGCCTTGGGCCCCCGTTAAACCCCATGCTGGAACTTCAGTGCTTCCAAAGACCCCCCTGATCCCCTGATCACTCAAAGACTGCTGATTGTCCAAACAGTCTGTGAACAGCTAAATTCTATTCTACCAGATAAAAAAGCAGACTTGGAGATTTATGTCAGGTCACAAAAGCTTCATAGAAAGTAGTCAGAATTAAAGAGAACATAAATCATCTTTTCAAAATATATTTTTTCTTATATACCAGATTTCTACACGCAGAATATTCGTCAAGTATTAAATCTAAATAGTCAGACATCCAATCCTAAAGAGGATGAAATATGTTAGAAAGTACACAATGATCAGTTTCAAGCGGCATAACAGATAATGCCCCAGTGATGCTTTAGAGACTAGATGAACAATTAAGGTAATTATCCATACCAAAAACTATTTTATAGAAATGTGCTACAAAGAAAAGAATTACATCAGGGTCTAAACGATCAGAAAGCAGCAGCCACATGGGCAGTCTTTTGGAGGCCTTACCTTTTCTTTTCTCCACTATTATCTGTTTGACTAAGAGAGCTGAAAATTATACCATTTGTGTTAGAATCAAATGCAAATGGAATAATTGTCCCTTCTCTAATCAAAACACATTTGTGGATTGAAATACCACATGGGGCAATTTTCAGTTAATCATGGATGTTAATAAATATGACTCTAAGCTCATAAACAAACATTACTTTGGCTAATATAATATAGGAAATTATTGTTAAGCTTGATCAGACCTGTAACAAAAACTGAACTTTGCAGAAAGTCAGCCAATTAACCATCTGAAAATAGAGATGCAAACCAGCAGTAATGAAAGATTAGATTTAGCTAATATGCTTAGACAAATCATGCATTAGCACTAGGAAATATTTAAAGCTGCCTTTGCTGGAAATGGAAAATATTAAGTATTGTCAGAGTATTAGCTTCTTTAAAGAGTAAAACCCAGATGCTTAGTGATTGGAGATTTAAAAACTAGAAAATCAGGTTTACCAAAATCAAAGTTACCCAGAGCCTGAATTATATCCAAGCCTCTAGCAACAAATGGTGTTTTCAAATGAAATAGAAAGATTTAATACTCATTCTATTTCCATCACTGAGCTTATAAGCCAATTTGAGACTCCTTCCTTTAGTCTTCCCTGAGTGTAAAATATGTATTTATTTTGGTGAAAAAAATATCTAAGCGGCTATAAAAGTATTCCAGTCATCTGGAAGACCAGTTCTCGACTCAGTCCTGTAGAGCCTAATCAAGGAAAAGCTGATGACATCACTTCCGGCCCCCTGCACTTCAAATAAAAACACTAAGCTTAAACCACAGATTGATATGTAAGCCAGAGCCCAAATACCTTCTTTCTACATTTACTCATTTCAAAATTATAATATGTTCCTCCAAGCTGACCTTTTCTCATTGACAGCAGTGGGAAAGCCTTCCACGTGCTTTCCACTCTGAAAAAGTCTGCTGTTGGGTCATTGTACACATGAAAGAGACTGCCCTGAAGAGGAAGCAATGTGAGGAGTCTTTTTCCCAGTTTTATTGAGAAATAATTAACATGCATCACTGTATAAATTGAAGGCATACGGTATGGTGGTTTGATTTACATATATTGTGAAATGATTGCCATGGTAGGTTCAGCTAACATCCATCTTCTCATATAGGCACAATAAAAAGAGAAGAAAGAAGAAAAGAAAAAAATTTTCTCCTTGTGATGAGAACTCTTAGGACTTACTCTCTTAATGATTTCCTGTATATTACACAGCAGTGTTATGGCTATAGTCATCGTGTTGTTATTACATCCCTAGTACTTATTTATCTTATAGCTGGAAGTTTGTACATTTGACCACCTTCCTCTAGTTCCCCCTCCTTTTACCCCCACCTCTGGTAACCACAATTCTGTCTTTTTTTCTGAGTTTGTTTCTGTTTTTGTTCTAGATTCCACATGTAAGTGAATTGTACAGTACATATCTTTCTTTATAAAACTTATTTTACTTAGCAAATGCCTGCAGGAACTATCCATGTTGTCACAAATAGTAGGATTTCCTCATTTTTTGTGGCTGAATATTATCCCATTATATATTCATGCATGTGTGTGCATGTATATATACCACAATTTATTTATCTACTCATCCATTAATAGTCACTTGGGTTGTTTCCATGTCTTGGCTATAGAAATACAGGTATCTTTTTGGGTTTGTGTTTTCATTTCCTTTGGATATATTCCCAAAAGTGGGATTATGGGATCATATGATAGTTCTCTTTTTAATTTTTTTTGAGGATCCGTACTCTTCTCCTCATCCTTGCCAGCATTTCTTATCTCTATCATGCTCATAGGTGTAAAGTGGTATCTTACTATGTTTTTAGTTTGCATTTCCCTGATGACTAGTGATGCTGAACATTTTTTTCATGTACCTGTTGGCTTTTTGTATATCTTCTTTGGAACAATGTCAATTTAGGTCTTTGCCCATTTTTATTTTTATTTTTTATTTTTTTAATTAATTAATTAATTAATTTATGTATTTATTTATTTATTTTGAGAGAGACAGAGACAGCTTGAGTGGGGGAAGGGCAGAGAGACACACAGAGAGAATCCCATCCAGGCTCTGCATTGTCAGCACAGAGCCCCCATGTGGGGCTCCAACTCACAAACTGAACCACAAAATCATGACCTGAGCTGAAACCAAGAGTCGGACACTTAACCACCTGAGCCACCCAGGCACCCCTGCCTATTTTTAAAAATTGGGTTATTTACTTTTTTGGCTATTGAGTTGTAGGAGTTATTTATATGTTTTGGATACTAACCCCTTATCAAATATCTGGTTTGCAAATATTTTTCCCATTCTGTAGGTTGCTTTTTCACTTTGTTGATGGTTTCCTTTGCTGTACAGAAGCTTTTTAGTTTGATGTGGTCCCACTTGTTTTTCATCTTGTTTCTTGTGCTGTAAGTATCATATCACAATATCATTACCAAGGTTCATGTCAAGGAGTATAATTGCTGTTTTCATCTAAGAGTTTTATGGTTTCAGGTCTTACATTTAAGTCTTTAATCCACTGTGAGTTAATTGTTTTTGAGTGGTGTAAAATAGGAGTCCAGTTTCATTCTTTTACATGTGAACATTCAATTTTCCCAAAACCATTTATTAAAGAGATTGTCTTTTCTCGTTGAGTATTCTTGACTCCCTTGTCAAATATTAGTTGACTATATATGCATAGGTTTATTTCTAGTCTCTCAATTCCATTCTCTTGGTCTATTTGTCTGTTTTTATGCCACTACCATGCTGTTTTGATGACTATAGGTTCATAATATAGCTTGAAATCAGGGAGTGTGGTGCCTCCTGCTTTGTTCTTCTTCTCCTGATTTGTTTCAGGATTTCTTTGGCTATCTGGTATCTTTGTGGTTTCATGTAAATTTTAGGAGTGTTTTGTGTGCTTCTATAAAAAATGCATTAGAATCTTGATAGGGTTGAATCTATCGATGGCTTTTGGTAGTATTGTCATTTTAACAATACTAATTCTTCCAATCCATGAATATGAGATACTTTCCCATTTATTTGTGCCTTCTTTCTTTTATCAGTGTCTTGTAGTTTTCAGTGTGGAGACCTTTCACTTCCTTGGCTAAATTTATTACTAAGTATTTTATGTTTTTGATGCTATTGTAAATGAGGTCAATTTCTTTTTTTCCAGAAAATTCATTGTTAGTATATAGAAACACTACTGATTTTTGTATGTTAATTTTATATTCTGAAACTTTACTGAATTCATTGATTAAATCTAATAGTTTTTTTAGTTGAATCTTTAGGATTCTTTGCATGTAAGTTATGTACTCTGCAAAGACAAACAATTTTACTTCTTACTTTCCAATACTGATACCTTTTATTTCTTTTTCTTGCGTGATTGCCCTAGCTAGGACTTCAAGTACTGTGTGGATTAGGGGTGGAAACAGTGGGCACCCTTGTCTTGTTTCTGATCTTAGAGGAAAAACTTTCAACCTTTCACCACTGAGTATGATGATAGCTATCAGCTCATCACATGTGTCCTTCACTATGTTCAATATGTTCTTTCTCTGCCTAATTTGTTAAGAGTTTTTATTATGAATAGATGCTGAATTTTGTCAAATGTTTTTTCTGCATCTATTGAGATGATCATATGATTCTTTTTTAAATGTTTCTAATGATTTGTTTGTTTGTTTGTTTGTTTGTTTGTTTGTTTGTTTTGAGAGAGAGAGAGAGAGAGAGACAGTGGGGGAGGTAGAGAGGGAGACAGAGGATCTGAATCAGGCTCTGCACTGTAAGCGCAGAGCCTGATGCTGGCTGGGCTTGAACTCACAAACCATGAGATCATGACCTGAGCTGAAGTTGGACGCTCAACTGACTGAGCCACCCAGGCACCCCTCTTTTCTTTTGTTCTATTAATGTGATGTCTCACATTAATTGATTTACATATATTGAACCATGCTTACATCCCAGAGATAAATCCCACTTGATCATGGTGAATGATCCTTTTAATATGCTGCTAAATTCAGTTCGCTCAATTGTTAAGAATGTTTACACTTAAAGGCGCTTGGGTGGCTCAGTCAGTTACACATACGACTTCGGCTCAGGTCATGATCTCATGGTTCGTGAGTTTGAGCCACATGTCGGGTTCTGTGCTGACAGCTCAGAGCCTGGAGCCTGCTTCAAATTCTGTGACTTCCTCTCTCTCTGCTCCTCCCCTGCTCATGCATGTGCTCTTCTCTCTCTCAAAAATAAATAAACATTTAAAAAGATTTTTTTAATGTTTGCATCTATATTTATTAGGGATATTGGCCTATAGTTATCTTTTCTTGCAGTGTTATTTCTGATTTTGGTATCAGGATAATTCTGACCTCATAAAATGAGTTGAGAGTGTTGCATTTAGTGAAATGGAATATTGACATATAAGCTTTAGGGAGAAACAGCAATATTTTATCTGTTACAGATTTTTTTTTTTATTTCTGAGTCAATCTGTAGATCAATCTGTACAAATCTGGGCAACTTAGTGAAGTACAAGTGTAAGATCATACTCTAAGCATATAAGAAATGCAAGGTTCCATCTGAATGATTCCAATAATAAAGGCAAAAATCAACACTTACTTTGAATTATTTAGGTAACTGTCGCTCTTCTCCATTTGTACTAAAAATGTAGACCTAAGTCTAGAAAAGGAAAAGAAACCTGAGTGACAAGACACTGAGTGCCTCTAAGGGGGCCAATTTCAATATGTGTGGAATCTTTCTACAATCTACCTTCTACTTTTTACAAAATTCCAATATTGTCAAATATGGCAATCAATGCATATGGCTAGTGAGATTAATAATTGTGTCTGCTTACCAAACACGATGTAATTGTCAGTCTTTGTATTTATGTTGATTTAACTTCTTAAACTTTTGCAACAATCCTATAAGGTAGGTACTATTTTTTTTTTTCAACATTTATTTATTTTTGGGACAGAGAGAGACACAGCATGAACGGGGGAGGGGCAGAGAGAGAGGGAGACACAGAATCGGAAACAGGCTCCAGGCTCTGAGCCATCAGCCCAGAGCCTGACGCGGGGCTCGAACCCACGGACTGCGAGATCGTGACCTGGCTGAAGTCGGATGCTTAACCGACTGCGCCACCCAGGCGCCCCGGTAGGTACTATTTTTAATCCTCATTTTTTAGATGAGAAACTGCAGGTTAGAGAGGATAAGACACTTATCCTGGTTAATGGTATAGTTGAGATTTGAACCCAGGCAGACTTAAGAACTGCTGGTGAGGATTAATGAAAGCATAACCTTTCAAACATATGCTGTCAGTATTCTGAATTGCTTACATTAAAATATTCTGTGCAAACCAAAATTATAAAAGGTGCCCATTCCACATGGTGTACAATAAAATAAGTACCCCTATTAAAAAACAGAATTTCTATTTTTTATCTTTAGGTTAACTGCTTGTTGCTCTGTTTTCTCCATTATCAAGGAAATAGAGTAAAAGAAATATTTATTGTGCTGTGGGTCTTTGACTGAATCCGCTCATCCTTCTTCCTTACCGAAAACCAGACTAAATATTTCTGAATGTCTACATTTAAAATTTTCTAACATTAATGAATAAACTGTACCTGGAATACTCTAACAAGTTCCCCACATGTCAGCAGGCCTCACATTCTACTGATTTGATTGCACCCGTGCACTCATGGGCTGACCCTTTCTGGGTCCATCCATCCTTGGATATTTCTGACCATGTAAAATAGTGACTATTTTGAAAATCACTGCTGGAAGACCATCAAGAAGGCAATGAGCTTACAAGCCATAATATCTTAAAGAAACCTATAAATGAAATAGGTCAAGGATGAGGCACAGAAGTGGCTGGGAAAAAAAAAATCTACATTTAGTTTATACAACTTCAGCTCCCTGTCTGTTCACATTCCATATAAGGAACAGTAACTTTTCAAGCAAGCAGGCCTGGACATATTTCTTGGCCTTATAATTCTCACAGTTCTAGACATTCCAAGGTAGAGGGTCATTCAAACAAAGTTGTAATTTCTTGTGTATATTTATTTCCAAAGTATCTTATGCATAGTTTCCCAGTGAAATCATAGATGGAGGCTAGGGGAATGCTAGCTGGGCTATTTTTCAAGCATGTCTAGAAGGAACATTCAAAAAGTACTGCTCTTGGCCTTCTTAAGCAAAAGGGCCAGACTTGAGCTGGAATGCTACAGCAATAGCTTTCCCCACTGTGCAGTTCACTTGAACTGCAGCTTTTGACTTGAAGATCATTTAAGAAGAGAAGAGGGAGGAAAGACGTTCATGAGATTTAAAGAACAAATTTCCCTGTGGTCACTTAGGAGAATGACATACATAACACACATGCCAGACTGGTGGGGCAGTTATAACAGAGTCCAACAAGAATATTCTGAGAGGCCAGCCATCAACATTCAAGTGTCTCCTCCATATCCCAACCACTCACCAGCACAGCATCCGTGAGGGTAGTACTTACTGCCATAGTTCTTTGAATGCCTCATCAGTGAAAGAAGTTAGACAGACCAAGATGGCAGCATGTTCTCCTTAGAGCTAGTCACTACTGAAAATTAGAAGTTAAGTTTTTAGTAGTTTTTTTCACTGTACTTAAAAATAACCAAATGGTGTATTTTTTACATCTTTAGGTGAAATTTAAAAGGCAAGACACCTAATAAAATGAAGAAGTTTTGAAAATCTGCACAGATCTAGCAATGATCATTTTTAACCCCCAGACAATAAGAATAGTTTAGTACAAAGACTAAATTATTTAAGGAAAAAGTAGTTTACTCTCTATTCATTCAACAAATATTTATTGTTATCCATTCATTTAGCCCTTATTGAGCAGACATTCTTTTTTTATAAATGTTTATTTATTTATTTATTTTTGAGAGAGCAAGTAGGGGAGGGGGAGAAGGAGAGGGAGAAAGAGAACCCCAAGCAGGCTCTGCACTGCCAGTGCGAAGCCTGACACAGGGTTCAATCTCATCAACCATGAGATCATCACCTGAGCCAAAACCAGGAGTCAGAGGCTTAAGTGACTGAGCCACCCAAGTGCCATGAGAAGACATTCTTGTAGGCACGTGGGATATATCAGTGAACAAGATGTTGATACATGCCCTCCTGTATCTTACATCTTCATGGTGAGAGAAATTCAATAAACAATAAAAACAATAAATTAGAAATTTTTCCTATAAGTTAAAGCATGTTAAATGCTAAGGAAGATAGAGAAAATTGAATAGACTGAGGGGATCAGGAGTTTGGGAGTTGGGGACAGCATAGGTTGCCCTCTTAAATACAGTGGCCAGAGTAAACCTCATTGAGAAGGTGAAGGACAGTTACGCAAATACTTCTAGGTGAGGGATTGAGCTATATGTAGATATGTGAGGAAGAGCCTAGAGTTCAAGGAACAGCAGGTATCTGTAAATATTGTGGCTCTTTGCCCCAAAAGGTACTAGAAGCTGTTGTGGGGATTTGCCCAGAAGAGAGCTGTGACCAACTATGTTTCTAAATTAAGAAACTATATTCCATGAAGGTTTCCTCAGACAATTAAGATATGTATGTATGTAAGTACGGTCTCTTATTTCTTTTTTTTTTTTTAATGTATATTAATTTTTGAGTGAGTGAGAGAGAGACAGAGAGCACCAGCAGGGGAGGAGCAGAGAGAGAGGGAGACACAGAATCTGAAGCAGGCTCCAGGCTCTGAGTTGTCAGCACAGAGCCCATCGCAGGGCTTAAACCCATGAACCATTGGATGATGACCTGAGCCAAAGTCAAACGTTTAACCGACTGAGCCACCTGGGCGCCCCCAGTCTCTTATTTCTTAAAAATGCTACCAAATCACCATCAGACACCGAGTGTTAGTTCTCTAGTTGGGAAAATAGAACAGTGTTGCTCGGTCTAAATTTATTTACCCATTAATCCTAAAGCCTAATCAGGCATTTGCTGAATTAGATTCTACTGGTATTTATTAAACTGTCTACTTCGGTGCTAGAAAATGTGCCCATCATAACTGGGAATAAAGGATACCAAGGGAAGAAGGGTATAAAATACACTTTGTCTCTTAATCTCCCTCAAGTTCAGGCTTCTCATCTGCAAAACAAAAGATTAGCTTCTATTTCTGGAAGTTTAGTGAGGATTAAAAGTCAAACACCTGGAATGGCGTGGGGCACGCATGTTGTAGTTAGTCACTTAACAAACACTGTGTGTCTCTCACTAAAATCAATGAAAGATGTTATTGTTTTAAAATTAAAGTAAGATGAAGCCTACGGGGTACCAACTTTGCTATTGGAGAAGTTAAGTGACATCCATGTACTTGCAAAACAGAATTTTAGAAGATGTTCAGAAAGAAGTTTGAAATGGGCTTGGAATATTTGGAACCTTTGGGCAGTCAGAAATTAAAGTCAGCCAAAGTGCACTGAGAGTGCAGGATTTTGTATGAAATTCCCAACGAGAAATTGTAGTACAGCTCTAATGCATAAATACTGTATACAACACTCACTAAAACCTGTATGTGGCAAATGAAGACAAAATAGACAATGACTTAAAAGAAAACTGTGCTCTTTTATCACATTTTTGAGAAACTGTTCTTTTTTTATTTGTTTAAAATTTTTGTAAATGTTTGTTTATTTTTGAGAGAGAGACAGAACATGAGCAAGGGAGGGGCAGAGAGAGAGGGATACACAGAATCTGAAGCAGCCTCTAGACTCTGAGCCATCAGCACAGAGCCCTCCCTACAGGGGGCTCAAACTCACAAACCTCAAGATCATGACCTGAGCCAAAGTCAGATTCTTAACCAACTGAGCCACCCAGGCACCCCTGAAACTATCCTTAATTATATTAGACAGAGACTACAGAGAACATAACCTGGTGTTGGAATGCTTAAATGTACCCACTTACTTCTGCTGTTGACTTTGATCAAACTTCTTAACCTACTGGGATTTGAGATGGAGAACAATCTAACACACATGGAAAACAGAGATATTTGGGTACAAAGGATCCCCAAACTTGCTGCCGCCATCTGCAAGTAAGTTCAGCGTGGAGATTGCTGAGAGAGACTTTAGATCATGTGCCCTTGATCCCCAAAGTTCGGCCAATGGCCAGTCAGAGACTTACCCTTGAAAGACAGGACTAGGCAATATAGTATGTGCTTGGCCAAAATACAGTCCACTTTCTGCTGCTCCACCCACCACCCCACCTCTGACCTCATACCCTTATGTTGCAAGGGCTGCAGGATCCAAGATAAGACTGTGGTTTAGAAGGATCTACAGAAGACTACTTTGCCTGAAAGCAAGGATCCAGTGGGTCCTGGAGGCAACATAGCTATGATACCCAATTAGCTGGGAGTTCATTTAGCAACACACACAATTCCCTTTATTTGATGTACTTTCAGCATTGCTTATGAGCTATATCCTACTTAGGAGTATGAACTCTCCAATTATTTGCCTTACATTATGAATCATTTATCTAGTCAATCTAATATTCTTCCCTTATGCATCTTAATACCTCAATTAACTATTATGAGTCATTTGTTATTTGTATACCAGAAAACTGCTTTCCAAGTTATTACTTATTGGTCATAATCAATTAGGGAAGTTTTTAGAGTATGGTTGTCTTATATAAATACACTGGTAAAGTTCAGCTCCTATGATTTCTGACAATTAAATTGTTCTGTCACTTGGGGACTCTCATTAATCTCAACTTGTCATCCTTGTTTATGCAGGTTATAATGGGCTATGTGTGTAAGTGAAATGAGACGCTAAAAGGCTTTGGCTTTTTAACTCTTTGATGAAAGTAAAATTGAAATCCTTTCTTAAAATGGTGACTTTGATTTGTACAGTCTGAAGGAGCTGTATTCGAAACAGTGGCCCATCAATTCCACCATAACCCACAGTGATCTTTATGTAGATTTGTGATTAAGTGTCTAGAAAAAGATGAATTGGCTCCTGGCCATGGATTCTTAATATTTGTATATCCGGAAAAGGAAATCACAGAGAAAAAAAGTCAAATTGTGTCACTCTTCATCTTTACTGGTCAACTTATAAAAAAGCTCTGGAGGAGCGCCTGGGTGGCGCAGTCGGTTGAGCGTCCGACTTCAGCCAGGTCACGATCTCACGGTCCGTGAGTTCGAGCCCCGCGTCGGGCTCTGAGCTGATGGCTCGGAGCCTGGAGCCCGTTTCCGATTCTGTGTCTCCCTCTCTCTCTGCCCCTCCCCCGTTCATGCTCTGTCTTTCTCTGTCCCAAAAATAAATAAACGTTGAAAAAAAAATTTAAAAAAGCTCTGGATAGAACTATAATATATGTGAGTAAAAAGGAAGAATCATCATAGTGGTCAGAAAGGTCCTGGGGAAAAATTTAGATGTCAAGTGCCATTGACGATGATTTGATCCATGGCAGGGATTTAAATGCAAGGAGTTGTGGTGAGACTACTACAGGATTAGTATTAAGATGTAATTTATTGGGCATCATTATTTATGATGTAAAATATGCAAACAGTGCATTAATTAAATGCAGGTGTCCCTACCTTTAGCAAAACCTCTGACAATAATTAAATTATACAAAGTGACCCAAGTCAACAGATTAGAAATCTGAACAGAAATCTAAGAGCTTTAATAAAGTCATAAATCACTATAAAGGAAATGGTAGGTATGATTACATTGAGAGTGAGTCTGAAAAGCATGTATAATAATAGAGCTGATGAAAAAAGGATCTGTAATAGAACTGTAAGGAACACGGGGAGTTCATATGCCTAGATGAAGCTACTGATCAGAAACTGGTTTGAGAAATAAAAATTTGGCAAAAGATACTTTAAAAAAAGAGTCCGGGTTCGCCACTTTTGACTTCCCAAGAAAATTTAACGGTCTCATATTTGTTGAGCCTCATCACTCTGTGATGTTAAGCATGGTGGAAAGCATTCTTTGAAAAAAGCTTTAGTAACTCTGAGTCTCCTGTCTAGTGTAATACCTTAGAACCCATTCCTGAAGAATGAAAAAATCAGTCATGAAAGAACTTTAGAACATAGAATCACTACTTAGCATCAGACATCCTTTATTATGATTCTGTGATTCCATTTTTACCATTCTGTTCTCTCCTATACACAATGCCACTGGTGCCTTTCCTGTATAAATATAGCTGTCCTTGATGGAACACTTCTTATGTGCCAAGCACTGTACTGCATTCTCAATTATCTGCACAAAAGCCCGAGAAAGTAGTTATACTTATTATACCCTTTTAATAGACAGACAGGAAGTTTCAGTAACTTGCTGAAGGTTAAGTCCAAGGATGTACCAAATCTGCCTGCCTCTGACCCCAGTCCTTGAGAGCAAGGACTGAATCTCGTTTACTTTTAATTCCCTCGTAATGCATAACACAAAGTAGTTATTGATAATATCAGAGGAAGACAGTGAAAGAAGGAGACAGGTATGAAGAAGGAGTTTCTTAGCTCAATAATTTACTGTACCAATCTAGCATAGGAGGCCGTATGATAAGGAAATGCTATGAAATACCAGTTAGGAAGCATGGTGGCTTATCCAACGCTACTGCTGGTGTGTTGTTACACAAATAATTTAGTTTATTTCAGCCTCCATTCCTTGTCTATAAAACAAGGAGATGGCCCAAGTGATCGTTCTGCTCCCTTGCAGCCCTCACATTCTCTGATTTTATGTTTCAAAAAAAATTATAAATTTCTGATTTATGTTTTATATTTCAAAGATGTTTCTTTACAGCCCCACCAGTCGCCATGATAAACGTGTCTTGTATTAAAACCCCGCCCATGTACCAACCACTTTGTATACATTATCTTCTGTGATCCTCATAACAACTCTGTGAGGATAGTATTATCATTCTCATTCAGCAGAGAAAGTGAAGCTTAGCAGGTT